GGGGAAATAAAGCGAGCGTTGGCTCCTGTCTGCCATGAGTACCCCCCGGCGTTGGTAGCCACGTTTCGCAACCCAAGACTATAGGAAAGGGTAGGAACAAACTGTAAAAATGGAGTTTCCTTGAAAGCAGAAAAGTGTGGGGAGCCCTTGGCTTTTCCCCTGCAGGCTGGCAGAGTTTCAGCTAACGCAGGGGTGGGCAAAATGTGGCCCGCCAGGCCATTCTATCCGGCCCGCGGGGCCCCTAAAAACTTAGAAAATTAATATTTATCTGCCCTTGGCTGCCTGTCCTGCAGCGCTCGATGGCTTGCCAAAACTCAGTAAGCGGCCCTCCGCCCAAAATAATTGCCCGCCCCTGCACTAAGGGGTGGGAGGCGACAGGTAGGGAGTGAGGGGCGCTGGGTCCGGACTGGCCATCGATGTTTGCAAGCAGTGCCGTAGCAACGAAGGTTGGTGTCCGAGGCAAAGCCGGCAGCAACAGCCAGCCCTCACTCCGCTCAGATTCAGGGGGCACATACCCCCACGCTGGCTGGGAATGCACGCAGCGGCGGGAGCTGCCCTTCCACCGGCCCGGGGCTCCTCCCAAGCAAGCTGCTCGTGGCTCCGGCCAGGCTGTTGGTGCCCCTTCACTTCAGCGCCCAGGGCTGTCACCCTGCTCAACCGTCTCCCCCCACCCCGCTTGCTATGGCACTGTTTACAAGTGGGTCCTGGTACAAAAAAAGGTTGAGGACCACTTGCCTATAACACCAACACGTGAAGGCCTGTGTTGATTCACACATTTCATTTATGATAATTAGCATTAGAAAACCCTTGGATAGCATGATATAATGTTTCTGTTTTAAGCCTCAAAGCTGTCAAGAGGAAGTTCAGCACAAGCCCCTGAGAAAGTCTGGTGGTCACGGGGCTCCTCCCAAGAGGGAGCACGTAGGTCCTCTAAGGCAAGGATCAAACACCACCAGAAAATACTAAATGATGGATACCCCACCTTTCCCCCTCCAAACATGCCACATGCACAAGTTTGAGAGGTGAAATAATGTGTCACATGGAGGGGCTCTCTCAAGAAAAGGGATGCATACCTCAAGAGTTGGGAGGAACCAGCAGCCTGTTTCAAAGTAAAGCATCTTGCCCTTGAAGCAGAGAAGAGGGAGTGGAGGAAGGACAAGAGGCCGGGGGGAAGGAAATTGCAGCCTTTAGTCAGCCTCCTTTCCCCTTCAGAAGGACCCGCAACTTCAGTAGACAGGTGTGTGGCTCAAAGATTGGACTCTGAAGTCACCTCAAGATCTATCAATGAGCTGTGGCAGAGATCATCCTCAAATCAAAGGGTTGTGGCTGCTGACAAGACAAAAAAAATAAAAGTTAAGGTTACACTTATATGACAGAAGAGTCACCCACCTCCCACTCCGCTTTGGCAACAAAAGCCATAAAAAAACCTGAAGAGGCCATTTCTCCACAACACCTAATTAGAACTCCTGTTTATACAACTATGCAACAAGTCTCATAACCACTGAGCAGTTGCAGCTGGTTGAAAGAGATTCCCATTGGGATGCTGAGCTGCCTCACCTTGTTTCCAGCTGCACAGTCACAATTAAACAGGCTAACTATACATAAGAGATCTCCTAATTTGGCTTCCAATAGTAACCACTGATCACAAGAGGCAAATATTATGTCCTCCCTACAGAATCAGGTGCTAGAAACCTTGTGAAAAACAGCACTGTGTTTGCTGACATTCAGAAAAAAGTGCTATCTATGGTTTTAGAAAAGACAGAACCAGCTTTACAGAGTTCCCATAACTCATGGAGAAAAATACTAAGGGCCAGATCCTTAGCCATATAAACAAGCACAGCTGAAATTAATCAAGCTTTTTTATAGCAGCAGAAGACTTGGCCCAATAGGGAAATAACACATAGAGGGTGGAAAACTGAAACGTTACTAAGTTTAAATATTTCAAGGAGGTAAACATGCCTAGACTCCCTGTTTCCAGCATGATATCAAAGGTGATCACTCTAATGGCTGGCTGTTTCCTTTCTCCTATACAATATTCCACTGTTAAACCCCAGGCTTCTCCTTTGTGACCAACAAATTTTTACTTTGGTATTATGAGAGGATACTATATTCCAGAATCAAACACTGCACTGCTGCAAAAGAGACTGCTATCTCTTCCCAAGCTCATTCATTCCCTTGAGCAACCAAGTCCTTGCTCTCCTGCTGGGAGGGCAGCATTTACAATTAGATATTCGAACAAGGTACTAACCTTTCCCCACTTATACCTGATCCTGTATTTGACACTGTAAGCACCGCACTTCTGTTTCTTCAACAACCTGACATCTGAAAAGCCATTGCAAAGATGCTTGTTCTGTCCTTAACAAGCTTCCCACCATGCTAATAGTGGTGACAATGTTTTATAAATTTAACTACCATCAGGAGTTTCTTTTATGAGGTAAAATAATTTCTTAGACTTTTGCTATAATAAACCTCTCAAGTCTTCTGTATTTTAGTGTCAATATTGCCCCAAACTATAAGTACTAGGGCTGTGCGAAAAAGCGGTGTTTCATTTCGACCTCTGTTTTACCATTTCAAAGGGACAGTGTTTCATTTTGTTGTTTTGTTTCATTTCGAAGCACTGTTCCGTTTTGTTTCGTCAAAACTGTTTTGCTGTTTCAACATGTTTTGACATTTTACCCAGAGGCTATAATGGGGAATCATTAAAATGCCTATAGCTTTGTCATTTCTTGCCTGATAAGGATGAAAATTGCAGGGATGGTAGTCCCTTCTGTGGGAAGGAAGCCTGCCAAGTTTCAAGGAGACAGATGCAGGGGTTTTCACGAAACTGCACCTCAAACAGTTGAAAGCAAAACTCGTATCACTTGCCGGCAACAGCAACCTGCTGTCATCCCGCGTGCAGATCTGGGGGCCGATGGGCTGTGAGGGTGTGCCACACTCCTCCCAGGGGTGTGGGCCCCCAGATCTGTGCGCCGGATGACATGGCATCTGGGAGAGAGCCAGTGGCCAGGACTGCCTCAGAGCCAGGGCTGCACTCCAAGTGGCTCTGCCAGCACCATGGAGCTCAGCCTGGTGGCAGGAGGGCCAGTGACGGAGCCACTCCAAGCACAGCCCTGATGAGCACAGCCTAGTGGCAGGAGGCTCCACAGCCCCACGGAGCTAAGCCTGGCAGCAGGAGACAGTGGAGAGCCACTGGCCAAACCTGTGTTCGGAGCGGATCCACCACTGGCTCTCTGCCGCCTCCTGCTGCCAGGCTTAGCTCTGTGGGGCTGCAGAGCCTCCCAGCACTGGGCTGCACTCAGACCCAGGGCTGTGCTTGGACTGTCTCCACCACTGGCTTTCCTGCTACTGAGCTGAAGTCTGTGGGGCTGGCAGAGCCACTCAGAGTGCAGCCTTGGCTCTCCCCTGCATACCACCACAAGGCTGCTTTGAAACTCAAAATGTTTCGAAACTTTCAAAATGTTTTGGGTGCCCTCATTTCATTTTGAAGCTGTTTCGAAGCCTTTTGTTTTGTTTCAATTTCACTGTTTCAAGCTCGAAACACGTCGAAACAGCTTCGAAATGAAACCCCCGTTAACATTTTGCACAGCCCTAATAAGTACTAGCACAGGGTTCAGCAGCCCCCTGACATGTGCCCAAATGTCGTACGTGAAGGCATTTTGCTTGACATGCGTGCCTCAGTGGAAAGTGGGAAATAGGCCAGGGCTGTGCTACCACAACACGGATCAGGCTCCTCACAGCTCCCCCACCATCTGCCCAGATCAACTGCCCACTGCTGGGAACAAGACGGGCTGGAGCTCCACAGACCCCAGTGTAGCTGGTTGCAACCTCCCCACTGCCTGCCATGAGTACCCAGATCCATGGCGGGAGGCAGGGGCCTGCCCAGAGCCCGGGCTGACTGTGGCAAGTAGCCAGAAAGCCCCTTGCACCTCCCCTGCCATTCACCCCTGGCATGCCACCATCTTCCATGTAGAGCCTGGGGGTATTTTAGACACTCTTTCCAAAAGTGTTGCCAACCCCTGCCCTAGTATCTGTATCCAGTATGAAAAGGGGTTTTGAAACATGGGTTGGCCAAGAGTAGTCAGAAGCATTTTCTTCAATCTTGAAAAGGTTAAATCCACCTCTCTTACTTAAATGGTTTCCCCTTCTTACCCAATGTATGCTGCAATTTTGCTGTATTGGTAAACTGAGAAAACTTCTGTAACAAGAGCCACCAACTACAGCCTTACAAAACTCTATACATCTGTGAGTATCTGGAGAGTTAGCCAGTTCTTGACAGCCTCAATTTTCTTGTTGTCAGTGGAAATTTCCCTCTCACTGATTGCATGCCAAAGGTAAATTACCCCTTCTTGAAACAAATCACGTCTTTATATTCAATTTCAGTTTGATCCCCTTCAGCTTGTCTCAGACCATTTGCAAACATATCCATTTTTGTTTAGCATGCACCACAACATCATCTAGGTATAACAAACAGCCTAGAAGAGGCACACTGTGCAGCAACTTCTCTGCTAGCTTTTTAATGATGGCTGATACACTTCACAAATAAAAGCTGTCACTTTAAATTAGCATGGGCCTTGTCCTGCTGTGAAAATAGTCTCTTCCTTGGCCTTCAAATCCACTTTCACTTGCCAATAGCCCACAGAAGATCCAGTATGGAAAAGGAGGTTGAATCTGATGTAGCATCCAGGATATAATCTATGGTAATTTGTAAAAATCCATTGAAATGACCTCACTTGCCTTTTTAAAAATAATAATTCACACAGAATCTGGTACTGCAAGCTTTATCTTTAATCACAGCTCTGGGTGAGACCTAAGAACTGGTTAAAGACTCAGTTTTGCCTTTGTAATTCATTTCCTTAATGGCTTGCAATGCATCTTTTCCATTAATAAACAATGGCATGGCTGTTAAAGGGGCAGTCTCAATCTTAGGCTGGCCTAACGCAGTATAACTCATTCTTTGGTGCATCAAAAAACCAACTCCAGATCCTCAACAATAAAGCGTAACATAATTCCACTATTCCTCAATTAAGCATGGAGTGCTGTACAGGAACAAGACCAATGGAAATTTTGAAAGTTCATTTTCCTTCTTCCCCATATATGGCTTTCTTCTGTACTAGCTTGTCCAAGATTCACCGGCCCACATTTTGCAGGCCCAGGTCCCCTTTTCTTTTATTTGCTTCTTGTCAGAAACTTTCAGTATAAAAGGCAGGGATCCATTCCTACTTTGGCTTCCAAAACAGATTTAGCAGCTAAGAATCCCATAAGACTCTGGGTCTCAAAGCAGGTTTGAAATGCTATCCCTTTTTCCTTTGCTGGAAACTAGCACATCATTTAGCTGATAAATGGTTTCAGCCTCTGCAAGCAAGACAATTTATTTACTTCAAAATCCTTACAATTAATTTGCTTCATTAGGGCAGTATTTTTAAAAGAAACTCACAGTAAGTTTATAAGACTTCTTTCCTGGTATTTATTATGTGCCTATCCATCATACTAAGTCCAAGCTGATTATTAGCACATCCTCTCCCTTTGCTAACCAAAAATCCAGGTCCAGTTTTCAAAATCAGTTATCCTAATTTGTAGACAAGTGTATGTTCCCCAATCTCTGCTTCTATTTAAGGCCAATTAAGTGCATCTGTTCTGGATCCCTATTCCTTAGCCTTTTTAACATATCTAATCTAGCAATTCTTCTGTTTGAACTGCTAAATAGAGAACAGAATAACAAAGGATATAACACAGTTGTTAAAGAGTAATTAACCCTGGATTTTATTCCTTAGTAAATTTACTCCATAGGACAGATAAGGTATGTGACTAGTTTGCCCACAATTGGCAGGCTGCCCACAACTGGCGCTATCACAGCACCTAGCAGGGAGAGCCAGTTTACATTGACCAAAAATCTACCATAGGATAGCACTGTCAAGGGAAGCAGAGACACAACTAGTACACTGGTGTAACTTACGCACAAGTATAGTTACTCCTCTGAGAGGCGACTTTACCATGGACTGAGATGACTAACAGCACCATAAGAATGTATATTGCGAGTCTGCTCCATTATTCCTACAAAGCCAATTTACTAAATAGTAAGCGTATTGTGCCCACATCAGAGAAATAGTATAGTCTTCAGGAGGCTTGAGGCAAACAGCTGACCTATCTTCACTTATAACTGTGACAAGTAGTTTAATGGAAGAGGACATTTAAGGGCAGATCCTGCTACGGAAGTGTAACAACTGTTTTGGTTCCATCTCAAATCATCCTGCTTTCGGTATCAAATACTATACAAGAACCAAATACTCTTCTGTTTCTCAAACTTTTAATGTCAGGGATCTAGTT